AGGGAATAATGGGCTTATTTCCTTCCAAAATAAATGTCACTGGAACAAATTGTTCAAACCACCAGTCTTATTGTTTATGGATTTATTCGCTGTTTATCTCCCCCTCTGTATTGGTGACATGATCAATAAATGTCCATAAATATTGGGTGTTTATAAGAAGGACCATTTACGGCATGAATGGGGGCCTCTGGTTACTTTGATTACTTCACACAGGCCTGGGCCACAATTGCGGGTGTTCAGGATGGCTTTTGGGGATGATGGGAGACTCACAGCAAGGGACAACTGGGGCTGGGCAGGGTTGCACACCCCCTGGTTCAGGGCAGGACCCATGGCAGTGCTCTGACTCACGTGCATGCGTGCCTACATGTGCGCCTGTGTGTCTGTTGATATGCCAGTCACTTCTAGTCTCTGACTGTCTCTGTTTCTTTTTCATTCCGCTTGTCTCTCTATCTCAGTCTTGTCTCTTTCTTCTGGAGTCTGTCTCCCTCAGGCCTGTCACCATCTCTGTAGAGTTTCTATCTTCCACACTCATGCACACAGAATTCACCCCCTGCAATGAATCCTTGCTCAAGCAGCATTGCTGGTAGAGGCAAGCGGAGCAGAAAGAAGCCTGAAGAGGAAGAACTGATAGAACCTCTCTGCCGCTAGTGACCACACTCTGTCTGCAGAATTTCCCAGGATAATGAGAAAAATAGCTGGACTTGAATTTCCAGAAGAGACTAGTCAGGTTCTAGAGTCTCAGCATGTCTTCTAGGCAGACTTCTACTTCGGAGAAAAATGTTAGGAATGAGGTGAAAAAAAAAAAAAGAAGTCATTTAGACGGAGGGAGCAGCTCCTAGCTTTTTACCTCCCAGTTTCCTTTCCCAAATGGTAACCCACTTCCTTCCTTCCAACAACATTTACTGCATACCTACTGTGTGCCTTGGTGCTAGCATCTGGCCGCGGATGAAGAAGGCCTTTGAGAGCCACTCCCTGGAGGGGAAGCTGGCCTGAAAATCAGGGCTGACTGTGAAGGCTGACAAGGTGCCTTCATGGAGAGATTCACAGAATGCCAGGGAAGGGCCAGGAGCCAGGATTTAAGCAGGGAAAATAGCCACTTATTTCTCCACCAGGGTGCACTGCTCCACGCTCTCATCCTGGAGAGACGGCATCTCTTTCTCTATTCATCGTGGCTCTGGGACAGGTCATGGTTGAGATGAAAGGCCCTGTGTACAGAAGGCCACAGGCAGCAGGAAGGCTGACATCCCAGCTCCTGTAGGGCCTTTAAGAAATGTCACAGACCGGCAGGCAGAAAGATGCTGTGATGGCATTTTGGGTCTGCAGAAAGAACAAACATCCGTATAGGAATCGTGCCCTGGAGGTGCACTGGCGAGAGGCAGCAGAGTGAATAGGGCCTACCAACAGGGAAGAGACAAGTGGACCATGTCAGGCTGGCGAACCCCTTCCAGACAGGTGGCCTCACTGCCCAACACCCCTTCCAGGACAGGTAGACAGCGTCACCTTCTTTCCACAAAGGAAAGAAATCAAAGCCTGGAGAGATGTGGGGAAAAACACAACAACTAGTAAGTGGCAAACCCAGGTCTGTCTGATCCAAAAATTCATCCTCTTTTCCCAATATCACAGACTTTCACTGCCTGATTCTTTTAAGACTGAGATCACATGTACTGCCCCAGCTGCTCTGCCCCTGTATGTGCATCTGCTGGCAGGACACGTCTACCACAGGAGGGATGCACCATAGAGGTTGAGGATGGGACCTCAGCAGCCCCAGACTTATTGCATCTAGCTTAGCATCTCCAGGGAGAAGAGAGCCTCTCTCTCCCCAGTTTCCCATATATCAATCGCAGGGCAAAGTCTGGTTGGCCTTGCTTGGATCACATACTCACTCCTGAACCAATCACAGGGAAATTGCGAAGCTCTGATTGGCCAGACGCTTATGACAGGGCAGGCTGCCATAATGGATGTGCTCCCATCCAGGACCACAGGTAGGTGTTGAACCTTGACTCAGAGGGTCAGGGAAGGCTTCCCTGAAGTGATTTCTCCACTGAGACCTGAAAGATGAGTAGGAGTATTCCAGACAAAGAAATAGGAGAACGGTGTTCAGACAGAGGGACTCGGAAGTGCAAAGGCCTGGGGCTGCTCCAGAACTTGTCTTGCTCACAGCCATATTTCCCTGTCTTCCCAGGGATGCTCAGAGAATGCTTTAGAAATGAGCCCTACAACTGACTGTGTGGCCTTAAACAAGTGACTTGCCCTTTCTGAACTTCAGCTTCCTTCTCTACCTGGTGGTTTAATCATTCTAACCTTCCAGGACGATGCAAGAATTCAATTCATTCAGTTTCCAAATATTCATCCAGCACTTCCTCAACTCCCCACAGCCTAGGCCTGCCATTGAAAAGAGAAGCTTGGGGCTTACACGCACGGCTGACCTGCAGCCAGAAATGAGAAGGGAGCCATGGCGAAGGGCAGGACAGAGGGAGATGTCCAAGGACAGTGAGGATGGACAATGGCAGGAATGGGGTGGCTCTCAGTGATTCATGCCTTCACCAACCCCACCTTGTCCCCAGCCCTGCCCCCTCGCCTTCCACTGCCACTTGCACACATAGCACCCGGAAGCCAACTTAGCCATGCTAGGCTGGCTAGGTAAGCATCCAGGCCACTAGAACTTTTCTCCTCGTTCCTTTGCTGGGCAACTTTGTAACCTGAATAACAGGTTGGGACAATCTCCAACAGGAAGAAGGAGAAAACACACTCTTTTGGGTTTGGGTGGCTACAGAGGGATTCTTGCTCCACCCCGCGTACCTGTTCCTGTACCTACGTACCTGCTCTTTCTCCCTCCCCACCCCAGCAGGCCAGTCCTGGGCCCCAGCTCCAGAGCTCTCACGGGCTGCCAGGGTGAGCAGGCTAGAAACTCAGGACACCAGGTAGCCCTGCAGGTGCTGGGTGGGCAACTCAGCCCAGAGGAAGAGCAGGCTGGGGAGCTCTCACAGCCCAACAGGGACTGGCCCCCAGCCCTCTCCACCCCACTGCCCTGAAGCCAGATTTCCTGCTCAGCATGGACAAGACAGCAAGAGGCTAGCCCTCTGCCCAGGTGTGTGTCCCCTACCCTCTGTCTCTGTCCCTCTCTCTCTTGTCAGTCTCTGAGTGTTTCTCTCTGAATCTGTGTGCACATATTAAAAGTACTTGTTCTGTCTCCCTCTTCTCATTCTCTCTCTCTCTCTCTCTCTCTTCCCCACTCCCCCTTCTCTCCCTCTCCCCCTTCACCCCTGTCCCAGACTGGAATGTCTCTGTGAATATTCATGTCTGTCTGTCCATCCAACCCCATCTGTCCAACCCTGTCCCTGTCCTTCCATCCTGTCCAGCCACCGACTCTCCTGGCTTATCTAACATGGGGTTCCTCCCAAATGTCTTTTGAGTCACATCCAGGAACCTAGGTTCTTGGACTGTAGGTCACATCCGAAGCACAGTCATGATCATAATATATTTTTTATCTGGAAAAAAAAAAGCTGGTGATCTGAATTTCAGGAAGTTAAAGTTCCACAATTTGTCTGTGGGTAGACCCAAGTGACAGCCCGGTTTTCTAACCTGGAAGGCCCTAGAGGAGTAGGATCAGGGCGGTGGGAGGACTTTTCAATTCACAAGAGGAGGTGTGGTTTTGTAGTTGCTGTTGTTGTTATTGTTGCTTAAACATTAACGACTGGTCCAGACAGAGCACCTCTCAGTGTACATACAGGAGGGCCAAGGAGGCAAATAGACTTGCCCAACGTTGAAGAGGGTGTTGGGGGCTGTACCAGGCGTGAGCCCAGTCTCCTGTCTCAGGTCTCAGCCTTTGGCAGTTGAACTTTGGAGACCATGTCTGTTGAGATGGGTTTTTAGGATAAAGATTCTGGGGTGGGAGGGGCAGGAAGAGCTGTGGGAGAGGTCATCACAGTCAGAGAAGGTTACCTGCTGCCGTGGAGCTGGTGTGGGAAGTCTGGGACCAAAGACCTAATGTCCTCTAAGTCTCCACAGACCTCCTGGGGGTTTCAAAGCTGCAAATCACTGGTAACTGCTCAGCACCTGGAGGGTGACACAGGGGGAGGTGGAGAGAAGGATGACCCTGCCCTGCTCAGAACTGAATAAGGGAGGAAACATTGGTTTCAACCCTCCTCTGAGATAAAAATTCTTGGCAGTGAGACCCCAGTAGGGCGGAGGAAGGGGGTGTCAGGGAGTGCTCAGCAGCTGGAAACCTGCATCCACATTCTGGCTGTCACCCTTGCAAGCCGAATAACCCTGGGCTTAGCCACGGTGAGTCTTGCTTACTCATTCCTAACATGGGGGCTGTGAGGATTAAAGAGATAATGCATAGATGGCACCTGGCACAAAGTCACCTGTAATATGTGAGTTGTGATTACTGTGTATTTTGGTACGGTAAACAAAGATCGCTTGGGCTTCTGCTCCCTGATGGTTTCACTGCAGCTAGCTAGCTCAACCTCGCTGGCTGGCTGGTAGGAAGGAGGGAGGGGAAGGAGGGCCAAACAGATGGATAAAAGGATAGATGGACAGGTAGATAGAGGATAGATAGATGGATGGAAAAATGAATGGATAGAGGATGGGTAGATGGATGAATGGATGGATGAATGGATGGATGGATGGATGGATAAATCAACTGATGGATTGTCGGATGGATGGGTGAACAGATGGATGAACAAATCTATAGATGGATAAGTGAATAAATCAAATATTACAAAAGACAGTGGCTTACCAGACTACACTTTCCTCTATTTTCTGCACTTCAAAAAAACATGGCGAATTGAATAGAAAATTCCAGGGACAAGAGTGAAGGAGAGGTGGAGGCAGACAGAAAAAGAGGAAAGTTGCCCTCTTGTTCATATGGCAGGTGGTAACGAACCCAGCTGAAAGAATTATGATCTCCCCAGGTAGAAGTCCCTGTCCCTCATCTTCAGGCCTGGTCACTTGCAGACCTGATGCCAGTTTCCAACTGGATTTTCTTCTCTCCATAGGTGGAAGCTGACCCCAAGCCACCCTTCACCTGGACAGGATGAGAGTGTCAGGTAGGCTCTGAAATTGGTTTTGGAGGCATTTTTCTGTCAGCTGTGTCCACCCATTCTGGGCTCAGAGTGATTTGGCTGTATCTGTTCTCAAATGGTCAGGCCCAAATCCCAGGAGGAAAGCAATCCAGGGGAGCCTGGAGGAGTAGAAGAGGTGACTTCCTGTCTCTAGGCTGAAGGGCAGGAGGAACTTCTGCACAGAGGCCCCACCTGGCTGGGATCATTAAGAGTGCCCATGTTGGAAACCCTTGGCCTGGTTGGAAATTAGAGACAAAAATATTTACCTCGAGGAGGGCTATTCTAGAATTTTTACACCATAGGACTGGGCACAAGGGAGGCAAAGGCCTTCTAGTCCACACCTTCATACTGTAACCCCTTCTGTACAGAGAGGGAAACTGAGGCAGCAAACAGGAAATGCACCTGCCTCGTTTACATTCCAGAACAGCTGTAAGGAGTCAGGAGCACGGGGTTTTGAAGTCAGCTTACTTCTCTGGGTTTAAACCCCACTTTTGACACTTACCAGCCAAGTGACAGTGGGGAAGTGACCACCTCTCAGTTTCCTCATAAGTAAAATGGGAATAATCAATAGTATCCAGCACACAAGGTTACTCAGAGAATGAACTGAGATAATGTATTCAAAAGTTGTTCACATGGTGCCTGGCACAAAAGTGAGTTCTGTGTGAACATGAGCTGATACCCAAGAGGAATTCTGCGTGCCTAGAGCCATGCTGTGCCATTGAAGACCACGTCCCGACAGACCTGCATCCCGCCCCACAGGACCCAGCGGGCCTTCTCCCCAGCCTGAGTAGTCAGAGACTAGTTCAAGGCTCTAGAGCTGAATTCAGGGCTGAGGAGCAGGGAAGATGCCGACAGGGAGGTCAGAGGGAGGGGTGCCACAGCTGGGCCTGCGACTCGAGGGTCACAGCAGAATGGGTGGGTCTGATTCAGAAGGTAGCAGGGATGTGAAATGGAGCCTGCTTTCTGGTCCCTGTAAAGAAAGGGAACTGCAGGTGGCTCATCCCCATGTGTGGCGTTGTTCCCCAATCACATAGGGGAATCAGAAAGCAATCTGGCCATGAGGCAGGGATCAGGGAGCTGTGGCTTGTCTGGAAGCTGCACAGCAAGTCCAGTGTGCAGTTATTTGTGGAGGCCTTGAGGGAGAATTGATGGAAACTGTGGGGGGCAGCCCCAACCCCAAGCCACCTGGAGGCTGCCTATTTTTGACAACTACAATATCCCTGCCAACAAGCTCAGGGGCAAGGGTGTTACCATGTCTGCTCTGTGCCTGAGGGACTCCAGCTCAGAGAGGCTGAGCTCCTGCTCAGAGTCACACAGCACTGCTGGCTGCCCTGAGCACTGGCCACAGCCTTCTTTACTCCTGTTCCAGAGCTCCCCTCCCAGAGTCCTGCCCTCCCACTGCAGTTCTCAGGCCTCCCCTTAAGACCTTTCTGGGGCTATAGAAAGGTCCAGAATGCTGGCCTCATTGCTAGAGATTCTCTCTCTCTGGAGGGCTAAGTGGAGCCCAGGCAGGTACATTTTTAACTTTCTCTCCCAGGGGACCCACTTGGGTAAATGTTGCCACATGACCTGGCAGCACAATCTCACCATCTGGCCACTGGACAAATTCACACATGGTCCCACGGTCTGGTCCCCAGCGTGGATGTGGTCTGAGCCTGTAGCATGGGGTCTGTGCAGTTCGGGAAGAACTCACACGTGGTCTTGCGATGTGGTCTTGGCTCTGTGGTCTCCTGGCAGCATCCCCTTGCTCGGCAGGTGTGCTTCGCCTCCTGGCCCTCATCTTTGCCATAATCACGACATGGATCTTTGTTCGAAGTTACATGAGCTTCAGCATGAAAACCATCCGTCTGCCACGCTGGCTGGGTGAGTCGGGCTCAATGCTGGGGGCAGCAACTGCAGGCCATGCCTGGAGGATGAAGACATATTCTTCCCTCCGTCCCTAGGTGACCCTGGAGACATGACAAGCTGTGCCACCTTTGGGACCCCAGCCATTGCAGGGAGAGGGGGCACCCCCAGGCTGCCAGGAAGGGTGGAGTCCATGGGGAACAGAGGTGCATTGCAAGGCCCTGGGCAGCACATGTGCCCACATCAAGGACCACTTAGAAAAGGTGACCCCAAGAAGGAAGGAAAGAAAGGAAGAAGAACAGAGGGAGGAAGAACAGAAGGAAGGGAGGTGGGAGGAAGGGAAGAAAGAAAATCATGTATTGAGTGTCTTCACCTGCACCTACTGCTCCCTCTTCCTGTATCTCTTCATGCAGATCCCTCCCACACGCCACCCACCCTCCCGCCTGGCTCCTTCTCTGCTTTCCAGTCTCAGCTAAGGTTGCACTCCTTCCTCCTAGTTTAGCTTCTCTCATGTCAGGCTTTTTCCATCAGAACACCACCATTATCTGTCATTATGGTTTTTATGTTTCGTTGTTTGTTGCCTGTCTCCACACCCTAGAATGTGAGCTTCTTGAAGACAAGGATTTTATGTTGTGTGCATTCACCTCTCTAAGTGCCTGGCACAGAGCAGATGCCTAGTAAACATTTGATGAGTGAAAAAAAAAAAAAACAGGTGGATGGGTGGATGGATGGATGGATAAATGGATGGGTGGATGGATGGGTAGATGGCAGAATGAGTAGATGGATGGATGGGTAGATGGAGAGATGGATGGATGGATGGATGGATGGATGGATGGATGGATAAATGGATGGATAAGTGAAGAATGGCTGAGTGGGTGGGTGGATAGATAAATAGATGGTTGGATGGGTAGATGGAGGGATGAGTAGATGGACAGATGAATGGGCAAATGGGGAGATGGGTGAATGAATGGGTGGGTGGAGAATGGATGAGTGGGTGGGTGCATGTGTGAATGGCTGGATGGATAGATGGAAAGATAAGCAGATGGATGGGTTGGGGGAGAAGGGATGAGTGGGTAGATGGATGGGTGGATGGGTAGATGGGTAGATGGAGGGAAGGGTGGATGGATGGACAAGTGGCTGGAGAAGGGATGAGTGAGTAGATGGATGGGTGGATGACAACATAGGTAGATGGTGGGTGGGTGGGTTGGTGGATGATGGGTGGGTGGACAGGTGAATGAATGAATGGATGGACAAGTGGAAGGATGCTGGATGCTAGCTGCTTTACATGCATAGTCTCATTTAACCTGTACAAATGTCCCACAGAGTGATCTATGGCATGGTTGTGGAATGGACTCAAGCACAATCCTTGATGTGGTTTCACGTGTGTTCTGAGAAAACAGAAGCTTGAGGAGATTTAAAAACTCACCCAAGTTCCTCTTGGAGATATTAGAACAAGAACAGGAACCCAGGTGTTCCAGATTCAAATCCTTTCTGATCAAAGGAAGAAGTGAAGGGAAGGGATTTGTATCTCTGGATTCGTCCCGTTTGAAGACCAAGAACCACCTACACTGACATCTTCACAAACATCAGTGACCCAGGCCTCTCCCAGCTTCCTAAGGCAGCAAGTAAACCAGTCTTGAACATGACCCCACAGTGGAGTGTCTGTGATCCCTTACCTTGTTTGCTTCTAGTCAAGCATGTTCCACAGCCCATGCTGAGATGATTTATAAGTTTATATAGATGCTTGGTGGCCACCACGTCCCCACCACCTCCCCAGGATCGCTGTTTTTACAAACTAGACAGTGATGTGGCTGCATTAATGGCCTCAAAGGTGAGGGGCCCAGGTCAGTGTAGGAGGCTCAGGGGTGTCCTCTAGAGGAGAGAGTCCCAGCCCGAGGTGGGAAAGGGGTAGTAATTGAAAAGAGACCCAGTAATTATTTGTCTCTCAGTATCCAACTACTTGAGGTTTGACAAGTCAACACCTCCAACCAACCATCATCAAGTGACTGCTGGGTTTTGAACTCTGTGTTCGGCCCCAGAGACCCTGAATGAGGAACACATAGCCCTGCTCATGGTCTGAGTCAGAGAAACAGACTTGATTACAGCATGTAGAAAAGTGAAAGTGCATTAACATGATGCAGAGTCTCGAGAAATGTTTACAGTAGCAGGAAATGTAACCAGTGGGAAAGATGGCCAGTAAGAACCATTTGTGTTTCAGCACTGAAGGGGGTAATTTTCATTTACTTCAGAGGTTCCTAACCTGGGTGCACATACCCTCATTTTATTATTTAATGCACTGATATAGAAGCACATATATTACTATAGCACAAATTTGGTTTTTGTTTTTGCAAAATATATTACATTGATATATAATTGGTTTCCAATTTATTTTACTTTATGCATTTAATAACACAGTCTGTTGGAGTATAAAGTGATAAGTGTCTCAAGGGAAGTGAGAATAACTTTATTCTGAGGGGAGTTCACGGCTTTTCCAAACTGCCAAAGAGAATCATGGCACAGAAACCAGAATAAGAACCCCTGTGCCTGGAAAGTTAGACAGGGTTATTTCAGATGAGAGTGACCAACTCAGCTCTAACTGGTTTCAACAAAACATGTCTTGATGGTCCATTACGGGCATCTTGTGACTTCAGATGTGGCTGAATCTGGGAGTCTCCCATGAAGGTCCCAAAGCCGGTCTCTCTTCTTTCTACATCCCTGGGCTCTGCTTGTTGCTACTTGACCTCAACAGGTTAGGGCCTCATTCCATGGGCAGTTTTCTCTCTAAGGCAAGCATGATAGTTTCTCTCCTGATGCTCATCTTCTCACCTCGCTGAAAAAGCACTTTCTCTCTCTCTCTCTCTCTCTCTCTCTTTTCTCTCTCTCCCCCACACAGCTATATATCAACATAGGGAAGTAGGGAAAGGCTCTGTCTCCAGAGGAATGTGATACTACGATTGACCCAGCTTGGGTCTCATGCCACTCCTGGGGCCTTGGAGGCAAGGGGTAGGGACATTTCCAGATGGACAGCCCCTGAGAACCAAATGGAAAGTGTGTAAGTGTTGGGGGGTTCCCCCATAAAAGGAGAGCTTCTTCCCCTAGCATTTCTGCTTCCTCTGGAGGTCCTGTCCTCCAGACGTCACTGCTGGCATGGTGGGAGATACAATGTAGAACCAGCAAAACAACTAGGACGTGGTATAAGATGTCAGGAAGTGGCCAAGGGCCCTAGAGCGAGTGCAGACAGTATGCAGTGCGGACAGTCAGGAAAGAGACACCCCAATATGGGCCAAACACCCACAGCAGCACAACTGTACCCTTCACTGGGGCCCAGGGGCCAGGCACTGGGCTCGGCCCTCACAGAGTGATCTCACTGGGCCCCCTCCACAGCCCCTTGAGGGTGGCTGTCATCACATGTGCCATCTTCATGTGCCATCAAGGAAACGGAGGCCCAGGGAGGTTAAATGTCTCGTGCAGTCATATGCTAGGAACTAGGGCACAAATTCCAGTGGGTCTCAAACAGTCCAGCTTCTTTTGAACCAAGGGAGAGTCATGTGTGTGTCTTGTACATGTGTATATGCACACACATGCGTATGTATGTCTGCATGTGTGTGTACACATGTCTGTATGTGCACACGTGTGTCTGTATATGTGTGCATGTCTGTGTCTGTATGCATACATGAGTGTCACATATATCTGCATGCATGTGTGTGCATGTGTGTGTGTGTGCATATGTGTACACATGTGTGTCTGTGTATATGTGTGCTGTGTGTGTATGTATTTGTGTGAAGGGGTGACAGTGGCAAGGGATTTTTAGTTCATTTCAATAGTGCCAATTTAAAGCCCCTTCTTCCCACTCCCCAGCCCCTAGCCCCCAACCTCCCTCCTGCAGGAGGGTCCGAAGTGCTTTTCCTCTAACCAGATTCTGTCTTCTCTCCAGTACCACCACCCACCAAGGAGATCCGTGAGTATCTGTGCAGCTCCACACCTCCCCCAAACTCATCCACTCACCCCCTGCTCCCATTTGCCCTAGGGCAAGAAGGCCCAGGGCCCCTGCTACTAACCCTGCAGGTTCCCAAGAAACCTGGGCTTCCAGATTCTTCCTGGTCCTCTCCTTCCATGACCCAATGGTGCCTTCTAAAGTCCCTAAGCCCTGTGGTAGGGGTGGCCTCCTCTCAGCCATTCAGACTGTAGGGACACAGTTCAACTCTGCCCCTTCTTCAGTTCCCCTGCTGCAGTCTGGACCACACCCTGCCCCTGCCCATCTCCTGCCCCCGACAACCCCACACAGCTGGGAGCCCAAGGGCCAGGGATGAGCTCCTTAACCCTATTGCAGTGACCCCAGGCTTGGCTCAGGATTCCTGCTGCAAAGTGCCAGAGACCATGTCAGGCACTACAGGGGCCCCAGAGACAAACAGAAGGGGCGCTGATTGTCTGTTGGGGTGGAAATGTTAGACCTGCCAAGAGAAGTGGAGAAAGTGCTCTGGGTTCCAGGAGGGGCACCCCCTTCCAATGGGAGGATCAGGGAAGGCTTCTGGGAGGAGGTGTCCTCTCTGCAAAGGCCTAGAGGCAAGAACGCTCCAGTGGAGGCCTTGGCTAGAGAGTCAGGACAAGGAAGGGAAGGAGAGCTGTGATTATGGCAGTAGTAACATTGATTGAGTGCCTATTATGTGCCAGACACTGGATTCAGAACTTCACAGGCATCTCATGCAATCCTACATACAACCTTATGATGGTGCTATAATTAGCCCCTTTTGTAGATAAGGAAACTAAGACACTGAAAAGTGAAATCTCTTGGCCAAGGTCACATAGCTATAAGTGGTGAGGCAGGAGTCAAACCCCCTCCACCATCTAGTCCCAAGCCCACCCCCTCAACCCCTCTTTGCAAGAGGCAATACCTCCAGGCCCTCTCCATTTCCCTCTCAACATGGTGGTGACTCTGAAGAGGGCTGTGGCTCCTAAAATAGGATTTTACCTGACTAAGAAGGACATGGGTGCCCCAGTACACTGCAAGGTTACAGAAGGCAAAGACAATATGAAGCAACACAAATCATTCACCCTACACCCTTAACCCTAGCTCCCTGAAGCCTCCTCAGTCATATTCTGAAGTGAACACAGAGTGTCACAGCATCTTGTTGCTATCAAATGCTTAGACATCACCTGCGGGGGGGATGGCAAATTCAAGCACACATGCTGCTTTCCACCCTGCCTGTTTCCATAGCAGACATCTCCAATCGATCCCAGCATTCTTTCCCTCCAAGCCCATAGGCAGACTTGAGAACTTTATCATTAAGCCTTTAACAGGAGGTCCACATTGACATTTAAGAGGAAACCTGTTTGACAACCCTGATCTAAACCAACTCCCTGATTTCACAGTTGGCAAAGATAAAGGGAGCAATTTCTGGCAAGGCACAAAGCAGATTAATGAAAGAGCAGCCTATTTCCTGAATGCACCCCTGCCCTAGTGCTCTTGGTAGCACACCAGCTCCATGCCCTGAGCAACAGCACAAGGGTTCCCAGGGGTCTCAGGGATTGAGGCAGCTGATGGGAGCGGCCTTCTATGCCAGAACCCAGAGAGCAAATCTCCTGCCTCCCAGAGGTTGAGCCCCCCTTGGCCTCATCTCCCTTCGTCCAGCAGCATGACCGTGAAGGCTGGATGGTCAGAAAATCAATGCTGGAAAAGCCTGCTTAAGCCAGCCTGTTGACATCAGGTTTATCAGACTTAGCTGCAATTGATTAGGCTCTGGGCAAACTCCAGAAGTGGTCCCCAGGGCTGGGAATGATCTCCCTGCATAGGTGAGACTCTCTGGGTGAGGGGTGAACGTGGCTGGAGGTGGGACCCCAAGGCTGTAGGAGACCAGGAGCCATGCCCTGGCTTCCCTCCCCAGCATCGCTCCTCAGCCAATCCCAAAGGTGGAGGCTGGGCACCTTTCATAGGGATCCTGCGAAGAAGGAGGAGAAGCGGAGTTGGTCCACCCCCAGTCCGGCCCTCTCGCCCCTAAGCCACAGGCTTGGATACCCACTCTCTCCTGAACAGCCCTTCACAGATGCCTCTGCCCCCTACCCACTCTCTGGGTGACAATGTCATGGTTTGAGTTCAGTCCCACCCATCAGGTGTGTGTGCTGAAACCAGGAGAGGGGAAACCCCAAACAAGAATTTCCTCTCAGATTCTCAGGGTTGCCTGCTCAGTGAAGGGAAACTAAGCCAGCAGGGTTCCCTGGTGTGGGCTGCATTTGCTCCTAGAAGGGGCACCTTTACCTACAAGCCTGGCACAAGTGGGTTGTGCCCCCTCCAGAGGGGTGCATTTTCCTGATTCACATAAAAGCTCCTTATAGACCAGGGAAAGCCCTGGAAACCACATGGTCCCTTCCAGCCTCAGGTGCAGCCTGGCCCAAATGTTGTATGTGTTATGCAATGAAGACTATCCAGTGCCTACTATGTGCCAGGCACAGGAGTTTTCAGGATGAGTCAATAAGATAATAAACATAAAGTCCTAGCCCCAGTGCCTTGCATGTAGCAAGGTCTTGGCGTCTGCAAGCTTCCTTAAGGAGCCTGCAGCTTTGCTCCAAAGCACACGCTGGCAGACCTTGGCCAGACGCCTGGCACAGGGGCTGGGGAGGGAAAGGCTGCCCAACCCCCGCTTTCCCTTAGCAGGTCAACATTCTCCAAATCCATGTTTACCCAATCCTCCCTAATGCTGCCTTCCAAACTGTCAGCTGGTGCTAAAAAGCACACATTAGGATGAATTAGAACATGCCAGGCTGCAAGGGCGGATGTCATCCCAGCTCTCAAAGAGCACATTGAGGGCTCAGCCGCTCAGCCACATCTCTAGGTACCACCAGCATCTCTCCTTAGGCATGGACCTCCCCAATTTACCCTGTGAAGGCTGCATGGAGAAGATGTAGGTCTTAGGAACAGCCAACATCACCAGAGGTGCCACTTAGTGAGTACCCAGTGGGCTCCCAACACCGTGTTGAGCTCCCAGTGGGAGAATTGGAACCCTCTGCCTGTTCTCTGTTGTATCCCAGTGTCAGGCACTTAGTAGATGCTCAGGAAATGAGTGATAAATGAATGAATGATGAGAAGAAGAATAGCCAGTGTATACTGAGCATGAAACCACACTCATGTATTCCTCACAACAACCCAGTGGGGAGGCACAACAGATATTCCATTTTGCAGATAAAGTGGGGTGCAAGGAGGTTGAGAACTTGCCCAAGGGAACCTGGCTAGAGAGAGGTGCTCCCACCCATCCCACCAGAGTCCCTGGGAGTTCTCAACAGGGGCCTCTGGGGACTCAGAAGGCTGCCGTGGCCCAAATGAGAGGTTCTCAGGAGAGTCCCTTCATCATGGTGACTCAGGTTTACTCTAGTTACGTTTACTGAGGGTGTCCTGCTAGGGCTGGAGCTGTGATGGAAAGCCCAAAAATTAATTCTGGGCTGGTCCTGTGTGCTCTGGTGGGGGCCGCGTTGGAGGCACCATGGAGCACAGAAGGGCGTATCTCCCAGACTTTGCTGTCAGCGAAGGCTCCCCCAGAAAGAGGCTCTGAGCTTCGTCCCAAGCTGCACCCTGGCCCTAGCCCCGGCCCTCCCCTCCCCAAGCACCTCCCGAGCTGCTGCCCACCAAAACTGGTCTCTTTCCTTCCCAGAGGTTGTAAAGTACAAGTGTGGCCTCACCAAGCCCTGCCCAGCCAACCACTTTGCGTTCAAAATCTGCAGCGGGGCAGCCAATGTCGTGGGCCCTTCTATGTGCTTTGAAGGCCACACGTAAGTACCTAAGGGGCAACTAGGTTTCTTTTATTTTATTTCATTCATTCATTAAAAACTGCAGAGGCTGCAGGGGCTGGCCTGTGAGACCAGCCCACAGCTTCCCTTTCACTCTGGGTGTGTGAGGCACAAATACAATAATTGAAACAGTTCCCACATCCGCCAGCACCTTGCCTGGTGCTTCAGAGCATCTCTCATTCATTCCCCCGACATCCTGGGAGGTGGAGCTATTACTCCTGTTGTAAAGATGAGGACAGTGAGGTGCAGACAGGGTCACCTGCCGAGTGGCAGGGCCAGGATTTGACCTCAAGTCTAACAGCCAAGTTGCTGGGCTTCCCATGAAAGGAGATGCCTGCAGAGAAGGTTCAAGATCCTGACTCAGGCATCAAAGCCCAGATATAGCAGGCACCAGGGCTTCCGCCCAAGTACAGGAGAAAGTCCGTTTACCCATCATCCAACTAAGACAGTAAAGGCCCTGGGACGGCAAGTGCATCCTACGAAAGAACTCAGGGATGGGTGTTTAAACTAGTATTCTGAACCTAACCACAGTCTGTTTAGGCAAAACAAGGAACTGATGGGTTCAAATACCTAAAAGACCAGGGGTGGTAGGCAAGCTTCAGGACCAGCTGGATCCAGGGATTCAAACAATGTCATCAGGGCTGTCTCTCATCCCATCTTCAGTTCTACCCTCCTCTGTCTAATAGCTTTGCTTTTTTTTTTCTACTTGCAAGGGATTCCTCCATGTGGTTAAAGAGAGAGACTGCCAGCTGGTTTGACATATTAGCCCAGCTTAGCACCCTAATGGGAAAAGAGCCTTCCTGTCTAAATTATCCCTGCAAAAGTCCCAAGCCTGTGTTTCATTGACTGGCCTGGGTCACATGACCAAGCCTAGCCCAGTGCATTCGTCCGTTTTCAGGCTGCTGATAAAGGTATACCCGAGACTCAGTAATTTATACAGGAAAAAGAGTTTAATGGACTCACAGTTCAATGTGGCAGGAGAAGCCCTACAATCACGGTGGAAGGCAAAGGAGGAGCAATGACATCTTACAAGGATGGCAGCAGGCAAGAGAAAGAGCTTGTGCAGGGGAACTCCTCTCTATAAAACCATCAGATCTCGTGAGACTTACTCACTGTCACAAGAACAGCATGGGAAAGACCTGCCCCCATGATTCAGTCACCTCCCACTGGGTCCCTCCCACAACACGTGGGAATTCAGGATGAGATTTGGGTGGGGACACAGCCAAACCATATCAGCCAGTAACTGTAGCTGGGGATGTAGGATGCTCTGCTTGTCCAAGCCTGGGAGAGAGAGGTCAATCCCCGGAACCACCTGGACTGTGCGTGGAGAAAGACAGTTCTCCCACCACACATCCAGAGACAAGGGTGCGGATGCTGGGCCAGCAGGAACACAGCTGGGCCACGTGGGGACTCAGACACCCCAGGATGGTGGCAGCCTTCTGGGTTCTGCCTCCTCCCAGCAGCCAGGCCTCACAGCGTCCGGGTGGGCTGGCCCCACCTCCAACACCTCAGAGGCCCAGGCAGGGACCTCCCCTCTTCTCTGAGCAGGTTGTTCTGGTCCAACATGCCTTGAGAAACTCTTTAGAGAATCCAGCCTACCACCAGTTTTCAGGAGAAAACAGATGGTCCCAGTTATTCCACGTGTTTCCCAACACTTCTGCATTGCTTATGTGGGCCCTTGCGGAGTTCCCCAGCTGGGAGAGCAGAGTGTTCATTCCACGCTCAGGACCGACTGTCATATTTCTTCTTCATTGTCTTCAGGATCATGAGTCCTGTGAAAAACAATGTGGGCAGAGGCCTAAACATCGCCCTGGTGAATGGTGAGTTGCAGATCCACCCCCCAGACAGTTCCTACCCAGCACCAGGGAGGGTAGGGGGTAGCGGCATATTCATTCAACCAACATTGGCTCAGCTCCTACCTCATAGCAGGAACGCCCGTAGAGCTCAGGAGGGGAAGTGTGGCTGGCCTGGGGGAACAGAAGTTCTCAAAGACCCACAGAGCTGTAGAACCACAGAGCTAGCCAGGCCCCTGCCACATGCTCCTATCTCAGGAGGACACACTTCTCCTATGGAACACAGGTGAAACATGACCCCATCCTCAAAGCCACTCTGCTTAAACCAACACAAATGAGGATGTGGGGACAACCAATGACAGTGCAAGATCACGTGCTGAGTATACACCTTCATTCATTCATTCATTCGTTCAACAAATACAGGCAGCAGCTACTGTGGGCCAGGCCCTGTACAGGACACTGGGGGTCAGCCAAGAACTAGAAAGGCCCTGGCTTCACAGCCTCCGTAGGTATCCGTGAAGCTCACAAACAATCTCAATGTGGTGAGCCTCTCTGGAGGGGCAGGAAGCACAGCTATGGGAGCTAGGATGCAGAGCAGGGGACAGACCCAGGGTGGTTCAGGGAAGGCTTCCAGCTGGAGGTGATAGCCAGCTGAGGTCTGAAGGATTGTGGGCACTGGCCAGGAGAAAATTGGGGAAGGCTCCTTCCAGGCAGGGGCAACACAGTGCAGGGAGGAGGAGGGAAAGTGAAGGAGAGAGGTTTGCCGGGCAACATGGAGAGGCAAGGCTGGGGAGAGAAGCAAGGCCAGAGGATGAGGAGCTAGCAAGCCTGCTAAGAAGTGTGATTGGAAGCTGAGAGCAGTAGGGAGCCACGGAAAGGCTTTGAGCAGGGCGGGAGGGGCCGGGCCTGCATTCCGGAAACCTCCCTCCAGCTTGGAGTTGGGGGGCTGGAGGCAGGGAGACCACAAGGGAATCCATGGCCTTGATAACCCTGCATCTCCTGCAGGACACACACTTAAACAGGAGGCCAGAGGGCCACCAAGCCTGAAGTAGGGACACGTTTCAGGAGGGAGTGGACTTACAGGGTCAGGTAAGGACCAGGTGGTCTGGCCCCAGCCAAGACCTCCTCTCTGCCTCTGTTCTTAGAAAACGAGGGCCATTCCCTGGCTGTAAGGGCCACTTCTGGGACAAAGGTCAGGGCAGGATGGGGAAAAGGTGTAAGGGATGCTCAGGGAGGAACTTGTTGAGCTTGTCGGTGGCAGGACCACATGAGCACACTTAGGAAGGAACAGGGTAAGATGGGAGCCCTGGCCTTGCCAGCTTCAAGCCCTGCAATTTACTCCAGAGAAAGCTTTTTCTCACTCTGCCAAGAAACCCTGCTGCGTCAGGGGAGAAGTCGGGGCCTGGAGCAGTGATGGGGCTGTTCCTGGACAGACGGGAGTCAGAGGACAGCCCTGTCCAACTTCCTAGGAGCCCAGGAAGGGCCAGGGCAGGGAGAGGCAGCAGGCTGCGTGGAGCCGTTCCTCTGCAGGTTTGAGGAGGGCCCAGGCCTGTTCCACTCCAGCCTCAGTGAAGTGGCTGCAAGGGATGGTGGCTCCCTCCTGCAGGAAGGGTGTGCCCAGGCTGGTCTCAGAGCACTCTTTCGTGCCCGCCAGACCCCAGAAGGCTGTAGGAGCCTCCGCTTACATCAACACTCCCATCCATCTGCCCTCACCTCACAGTAGGGGCGGGCAGGAAATGGCGCAGGCTGCAGCTGACCTGGCTGAAACCTGCTGACTTTCTCCTAAATGGGTCCCACCTGAGAAAAGCCTTTTGCATATTCTCCAATGAGATGGCCCCAGACTAGGCCTCTTTCCCTGCCTCTCACAAAGCCGAAAGGATGAAAATAACCATCGATGGCAATAAGAACTAGCATTTACTGGGCACTCACTGTGCTTTTTCATTTAACCCCATCACTGTGCTAGGCTGGAGCTATGCGCAATATCCCCATTTCCCAGGTGAGAAACCGGGGCTCAAAGAGGTTAAGTAGGCTGGGTGCAGTGGCTCATGCCTGTAATCCCAGCACTTTGAGAGGCTGAGGTGGGTGGATCACTTGAGCTCAGAAGTTCAAGACCAGTCTGAGTAACAGTGAACCGCCCCCACCAATCCGCCCCATCTCTACAAAAAGTTAAAAAATTAGCTGGGTGTGGTGGCACACACCTGTAGTCCCAGCTACTCAGGAGGCTGAGGTGGGAGGATTGCTTGAGCCTGGGAGGTGGAGGCTGCAGTCAGCCAAGCTCACACCACTGCACTCCAGCCCGGGCAACAGAGAGAGACCCTGTCAAAAAAAAAAAAAAAAAAAAAGAGGTTAAGCAACTTGTCCAAGGCCACACAGCCTATAAAACCACCTACATTTGAACCTGGATCGAGTTAACTCCAGGTCTTACTTATTCACCTGAACGACCTCCCTAGACTAGAAATGTCTCAAACATGTACACAGCACTTACTGTATACGTGCATGCTGTGTATGCCACATGTGGGGAAGCCCAACAAATCATCCTCATCTATATGACCAAGAACAACACAAGGATTGCTAAAGACCGAGTAGTCTTTAACCTTCAGTGGCGCAGAGATTCCTCAGGATCTTCAAGCTATGCTGGCCTCGGCCTCCACCCCCACCACTCTCCCATTGCAGAAACATTCACGAGCGCACGCGATCACAAAAGCAGCTCCATAGGTTCATAGACTCCTTCTAAGGGCCCCAGGTAAATCATTCCATGGACGCTCCGTGGCTCCTGGAGAATCCTGGAGGGGCTGCTAAGCGAGCCTGCTCGCGCCGCCTGGACTGCGCCTCTCCCTAGACCCGGTCCCAACCCTCCTCCGTAAGCCTTGGAGCTGCCATCCCCTCTGCAACACCTCCATCTAGTGGCACAGATTGCGAACTGTAACGTTCCTCCCGAAGACCCGGTTCCCTGGAGGGTTTGGCCTTGGGAAGCCTCCTCCCACAAAATCCACAAACGCAATCAGGGTTACTGGACCCTGGGAAACTGAGTACCGCTTAGCCCAACACAAATCCCTTTGCCTTCGAGAGGTGGAGGACTCCAGTTGTAGGTTTTCTATATAGGTGGAAATAATGATGATGACTATCATTTTGATTTTGATTTTGCAGCTAAAATTCATCTTGTATGACTACTATTAATATTTTAAATGTATCTCCTTTAGTTCCCACAACCCACTGTACAGATGCAAGAATTGAGGTCAAAATGCTAAGTCCTGAGTTAGACCGTGGTAGGACAGAACACAGACTCAGACTGAGTAGACTCAGTTTGATTCCAGAGACGCCCTTAGCCATTACATTCTTGAACCTCTCAGATGAGCCCAGCCATCCCTGGACATCTGCTTTAGTCCTGCATGCTCTTTATAGGACCTGATTTCATTATATTCTTGTTCTGTTTTTAGATCTTAGACTACAGATTAGCCATTTTCAGCAGAATGACAGGCAGAACGACACGCGTTACAGGGGATAATCGTTCTCCTCTTAACCTCTAGGAACCACAGGAGCTGTGCTGGGACAGAGGGCATTTGACATGTACTCTGGAGGTAGGTGCCTCTGCTGACACTGAAGTCACAGTGGGGGGTGTGGTGCAGACTGCTGAGCCTCTTCGTGTGGCAAGGGACCTGGTGGCTCGAGGTAGCTGGTGCTTCTTTCCACAGGAGGCACCCAGGAAGAGGTGCGGTGGCAGGTTGAGGGTGTCCTGCTGCTTTTGAAACTCCTTCTGGCCACCTCAGTTGGGATGTCCCAGACTCAGATCCTGAGACAGGGATTCAATTGCAATGCTTTATTTAAGAAGTGAGCTCAGGAAACGTCAGTAGGGGAGTAGGGAGCAGACAGCGACAGGAAGGAAGCCTGTGAAGAATGTGTCACTGAGCCTTTAACCAAAGTTGGAACCCTGGAGCCAGTGTGGAATACATGCCCCAGAGATCTCCCAGAGAATCGAGGGGACTGAGGTACCCATGCCTCGAATTCCTTGGCATGCAATTCTGGCCTGCCCTGGGGGCAAAGTGAACTCTGGAGGCCAGAGAAGACCTTAAGGCAAAGCAATGTCAATGTTGATGTCACTGAAGTGCTATGGATGAGGCTGCGTGACCCATCGGCCACATCCACTAAAGCTCTGCTAGGTAAAGGTATTTTATTTCAAGGTTACAGGGATCTCTTGGGGACCCAAGGACAGGACAAGGCTCCTTTCTGGACCTGAGGCTCCGAGCTCTACACATCTTTCAGCAGATGCTTGTCTTCTCTCTGCACCCACGTGCTTTGCAGATTTTTCTGTGTACCTGGCTGCCCCTTATAGGAAGTCACTGCCCTCCTTGCTCTTAGCATGGCCAGGCGAGACAGGGTACTGACCTAGCTGTGCTGAAATCCCGGGCATCTAAGTCCCCACCAGCAGCCTCCTCGCCAACCAGCCACCTATGGGCAGGGGTGGAACCCTGACCCCACATTCTCAAAAGCTTTCAAAATGCAGCAGAATCAAAGACCTGCGCCCTGCAGGGACTGGTTCTCATCAGAGGAGGTGTCAGAGCCCAGGTGAATGCAATTTCCCTTCTGTATCCCTGAGACCCCAGGGCATCTCTGTGCTCGGCCATCCTGGGATGTACAGCACGTGTGACCATGGACCCAGGAAAGCCTGTCACAGAGCAGAAGGGGCCAAGCTGCTGCTAAACAGCTGGGATTCCCCTCTCCTGAATTCCCCTGTCTTTGTCTCAACGTCTAGGGAAAGCCCACTTTGTCTACACCCACCTACACACATGAGCCCAGGAGGGGAGAAAGTTACCAGGCAGCAGAAGGCAGGAAAGAGGCTGAAATTTGGGAGGTGGGGAATGCTGGGGATGTGATGTGCAGGACAACTCTTAGAGATGGGCAGCTGGGACCCTGTCCTGGGCCCAGGGCTTCGTAAGACCCCTCCCGGCCCTCCTCCATCTCCGTCCCAACTCATGGGTGAGGAGTCTGCAGAGCTAGGGGTGTGCTGACCTGGAGTCCACATCAGGGCCCACACAGGCCTCCTGGAGTCTGCATCAGGGCCCACGCAGGTCTCTTGCCAGGTGTGCCCCACCCCCAGGCTTCAGACACTCCCCCAGGATGGAGGGGTGACCAGGGGCTGGCTGTTGCTTGACAGGAGGGTAGTGTGGATGGAGCTTGGATGGGCACACTAAAGTGCCACATGCAGTGTGCAAGGTCCCTCCCGGTACAGGATAGAGCTGAGGACAGGGGCAACAGGAGATGGGGACAGGCCAGGGGCTGAGGACCAGACATCCTGCCTGGAGTCCTACTGATGTTCAGCATGGCCTGGGGCCAGGTTTATGGAAAAGGTCCAGTCTCCGGAGTCAGAGACTTCCAGAGGCATGACAGTCAGAGACTTCCAGAGGCATGACCTGAAGCAAGTGGCGCCTCTTGAGCCCCAGTTTCTTCATCTGTAACAGAGAGGCAGCTATAGTTTCCACTCCATAAAACTGATGTGAGGATTAGATGATAACCTGAAATAATTGGTGGAAGGGTGTCCAGCCTGACTGGTGGAGGGGTCCAGGCAAGCTGGTTTAGTCTTCTCCCTTCCCTCCTCTTCCCCTTCCCTCCCCTCTTCCCTCATTCCATCCAGATGACTCAGAAGCAAGGAGATCATCTGTCAGAATGAAAAGGAAAAAAAGTTTGAAGACAAAACTAAGCTTTAAAATGCCTTATTATAAACTTGAATGTAGCCATGACTGATGGGGACCCAGAAACAGAGGCATTGTGAGCAAGTAGCCCTTCCCTTCAGGAAACAAAAGGGGATGAAGGCTTTTTAAAGTGAGGTGATCATTAGCAGAAGGCATGCTTTATGTTTTCCAAATACCCACCGTCCATCCCGACAAGCACCAGACCATACATCTGCAACAACACAAATTAATGGTGCTTTAAGAGCTCCCTCCTTTTGTCATAAAAGTTCAAGGGCCATTTCTTTAGAAGAGCGACTGTGGTGGTTGACCAGAAACCTGTCACTGAGCTGGCTGGCAGCTGGCCTTAGTTGGGAGAATGGCTTCTTCCCCAAGGTCCTAGGGGTCTGCACTGGAATACTAATAATCAAGACCAGCTTTGTGGGCCTGTGACCTGGGGACAGGGCAGTCACACGGGGCCCATGCTTGGAAGAATCTCACACTTGGCTTGATGCCTGCCATCGTGGTCTTGAAATACTGAATAATTTTTTATTAAAAGGCCCTGCATTTTCATTCTGCACTGGATCCTGCAAATTATGCAGCCAATCCTGCTAATAATTTTTGGTTCCATTAGAGTATGCTTACTGTATGCCCAAAGTTATTGTCACATTTGCACTTTATAAAGATGCTATGAGCAGGGCTATTACTCATTCTCATTTGACAGATATAGTCTCTGCTTTAACCACTAGGTTGCTTGTTGCCAAACTTGAGCCCCCTCAAGTTGCACCATATCTAGAATAACATCTGCATTATTAGTATTTTCCTTTAAATTGGATCACTTTTTTTTAACCTAAGTAAATATATATTAAAAGGAAACTATATTACTGCCTTAAGTAGAAAGCTATTATTACTTGTTATGCAGGAAAGGTGACCATAAAAATAATCATAATGGAGGGCCCTGGGACAGTGGCTCACGCCTGTAATCCCAGCACTTTGGGAGGCTGAGACGGGCAGATCACCTGAGGTTGGGAGTTCGAGACAAGCCTGACCAACATGGAGAAACTCTAATTCTACTAAAAACACATAATTAGCCGGGCATGGTGGCGCATACCTGTAATTCCAGCTACTCGGCAGCCTGAGGCAGGAGAATCACTTGAACCCGGGAGGCAGAGGTTGCGGTGAGCAGAGAGCACGCCTTTGCACTCCAGCCTGGGCAACAAGAGCGAAACTCTGTGTCCAAATAATAATAATAATGGTAATAATCACCATGGAAACAAATCAGACTCTTCACAGTGAGCTGGATGCTGATGCCTCCCCCAGGTGCTAAGCCTAGAGCTGCTCTCTGTTAGAGAGCTTGGCAAGTTAGGAAGGCATTAAAGACACACACAGAGACTTGCTCCCTGACACAGCAGGAAAGTTGTATTAACAGTAGACTCAAGTTGTCTCCCAGGGATCTCAGCTGTCTGAGGCCACGTGCTATACCATCTAAAGTCAGCACAGATAATCTGGGCATTGTCCGGTGTAGAATGGGGTCTGGGGTATGCAAAGGGCCCGGAGCACCTGAGAGATGATGACACTTGGTCCCCTGAGGGGTAGGCACATAAGGGCCCTTCTCCAGTGCTGCTCATCCTCAGCTGCAAATCAGAGTCACATGGGGAATTTCTAAACTCCAGTGTCCAGAAGCCACCCCACATCACCTGGATGAGTCCCCCTCACTCTGCTCACTCTGCCCTCCCCTAGGACAACGGCTACAGGGAGCTCCACCTGGGATGCTCCTCCTCCTGGCTTCTGAGCTCAGCCCAGTGTCCACTGGGCCTAGCGGGCTCCTGCATCATAGGGCAGTAGACAAGCATGAGAATGACCAGGGCTCATTTCCCCTAAATCACCTGCACCTTTTCCTTCCTCCCCCAGATGTTAATCACCTAGTGAAATTCCTTAAAGAAATTCCAGGGGGTGCACTTGTGCTGGTGGCCTCCTACGACGACCCGGGGACCAAGTAAGTAGAAAACTCTACCTGCCAGGCCACCCAGTAATGCAAGCTGAATACCTTCAAACGCTGCACACCCTTTTCTGCTGTTTTGCCAGCTCCATTTTCTGGCAACTTATCTTGAGGAAATTATCAGACAAGTATGCAAAGCGATGTTCTAGGAGGTTGATCACAGCCTTCATTACCACAGTGGAAAACTGGAAACCCTCTCCCTGTCCAATAGAACAGCTGACTGGCCACAGAAACTATGACATATGGTGATATAGGATATGATATACGCACAAATGAAGACAGACTGCATCAAAAATGATGCTGCAGAAAGTATTTAAGGCCGAGACGGGCGGATCACAAGGTCAGGAGATCGAGACCATCCTGGCTAACATGGTGAAACCCCGTCTCTACTAAAAATACAAAAAACTAGCCGGGCGAGGTGGCGGGTGCCTGTAGTCCCAGCTACTCGGGAGGCTGAGGCAGGAGAATGGCGTAAACCCGGGAGGCGGAGCTTGCAGTGAGCTGAGATCCGGCCACTGCACTCCAGCCTGGGCGACAGAGTGAGACTCCATCTCAAAAAAAAAAAAAAAAAAAAAGAAAGTATTTAAGGACATGGAAAATTGCCCACCCTCTAGTGCTAAGTGAGCGGCAAAAAACACTCTATGGAAATATATACACTGATCACGCCAAGGGGAGGAGGGGTGAGTGATCTTCCATATTTTCCAAATGAATGTGTATTGTGTTTGTGTTTGTAAACAGAGCAGTACTGTTTTAACACATCTCCAGCCCCACCTGAGGCCCTTCTAGAGAGGAAGTCTTGAAGCCCTTTGCCCTGTCCTTCCTGAGTGCAGCCGTGTTCTCTAGGCACCCCCAGGGCAGATGCTAAATGGGGAGAAGGGTAGGAACCTCGCCCCATGGGAATCCCACCATCTGATGCCCCTTTGACCCACCCCCGCATCCTGACCATCCTCTCTGGTCCTCTGCAGAATGAATGATGAAAGCAGGAAACTCTTCTCTGACTTGGGGAGTTCCTACGCAAAACAACTGGGCTTCCGGGACAGCTGGGTCTTCATAGGAACCAAAGACCTCAGGGGTAAAAGCCCCTTTGAGCAGGTGGGTTCTGGGCCACAACCCGACCCTGTGAAGGATGGACAAGGAGCTGGGCGGTGGTAGGAAGAACAGTCACCCAGTCACCTCCCGAGGGCCTTAAAATTGGGAGGATTGTGTGGGGAGAGGCCCTTGGTTGTCATTCACTCCAAAGGACAGGGTGGTCTGATCGGCCAGGAAGTCGCCTTGGCCATTTCGCAAAAGCTGGGTCATATGTAAACACGCAAGTATACAGGTAAGTACCAGAAAAGGAAGAGGGAAAAGGAGAAAAGAAGGATGATGGGGAAGTGAGGCATGAAGGAAGAAAAAAGAAATGGAAATATGAAGCTGTGTGACAGGGAAGGGGAACCTGGGGAAAGGAGCAGGATGCCTGTCCCCATCCCTTCAGCCTCCCTGGCTGGGCATGGAGAATACGGGGAGGGAAGTGAGAAGGCAGGGAGGAGGCCAATGCCATCATCACACAAGAGGCGCCAGAGCGGGCAAGTGCAGGGAACCATGTGCTGAGCTCTAGGAAGGGCACCACAACTGTGATTTCTTTCTTAAGCTAGAAAATGTGGTCTTGGTCTGTATGCATGTGTTTCTAAGAGGATGTATTCAGGTAACTAGAAATTGCCTGTGAAGAACTCAGGAGGCCGGTGGGCAGGGGCGGGGGGTGGCGTGGTTCCCGAATGTCCTGTGGGGGTGCTGCAGCAGGGCCCTGGCAAGAGGCCTGAGGCTGCATGGGCAGGTGGTGCTGTTCTGCCCCGAAGCATGGGCTCCAGACCCAGAGGAACCAGCAAGACAGAGGAAGCATGGGAGTACAGGAAGCCCAGCACCAGCTTCACCCACCTGCAACCAGCTGGCTGGGACCTGACGCCCAAAAATGAACCAAGCACCCTGATGGGACTAAGCCAGTCTGTTCTTTGTCCCCACACTTGGGAAACTGGGTTTTAGACAGGTAGCATCTAGAATCTCTTTTTTAATTCCTAAGAGTCAGCCACAATGATTCCAACAGCAGATTTTGCCATTTACATTTTTTTCTTTCATAAACTAAACCTGAGCATTTTAGACACAATCCTAAGTGATTCTATTCTTCTTACATACTTATTACAAGTATATGTATATTTTTTGAGACAGGGTCTCGCTCTGTCACTCAGGCTGTAGTGCACTGGCACAATCTCAGCTCACTGCAGCCTCGACCTCCTGGGCTCAAGCGATCCTCCCACCTCTGCCTCCTGAGTAGCTGGGACCACAGGCATGTGCCACCACACCCAGCTAATTTTTTTTATGTTTTCTGGAGACAGGGTTTCCCATGTTGCCCAGGCTGGTCTTGAACTCCCAGCCTCAAGTGACCCTCCTCCCTTACCCTCCCAAAGTACTGGGATGATAGGTGTGAGCCACTGCGCCCCACCCCTTATTAGTAGTATTAATTAATATTATGTGGTGGTTCTGCCACTTACCAGCCAGTGACTATGGGCAGTGACCCTCTGTGCCTCAGCTTTCCCATCTGTAGAATGGGATGTAAACAGTGCACACTCCCTAGGGCCACCGTGCAGATTAAATACATAAGGCACTGCAGAACAGCACCTGGCATACAGCAAGCGCTCAAGACGAGCTAGGAGTCTTCTTTTTATTGTTGCTATCATTATTGTCATTTGAGGTATCCTAGAGGGACACAGAGAATTTGAGGGGAGGGGCTAGATCTCTCCAACAACTGGTTACCCTTCAGGGCATGAGAGCAGTAACTGGGCTCTGATCCCATCTCTGAGACCTTGAGCAAGTTGCATCCCCTCTCTGAGCCTCAGTTTCCCCATCCGTGAAGTGGGTTAATAACATCCTACACGCCCATTTAGGTTTAGAGCACAGTGCCCATGCGGGCATGAGTTCTAAACGGCCTCACTCAATGCCTATATTTCTCTGTCTTCTCTCTCTCTAGTTCTTAAAGAACAGCCCAGACACAAACAAATACGAGGGATGGCCAGAGCTGCTGGAGATGGAGGGCTGCTTGCCCCCGAAGCCATTTTAGGGTGGCTGTGGCTCTTCCTGAGCCAGGGGCCTGAAAAAGCTCCTGCCTGACTTAGGAGTCGGAGCCGGGCAGGGACTGAGGAGAAGGAGCAGGGGGTGCCACGTGGAAGTCACTGCCGGTCCTTGCATGCTGTGTCACGCCTCCCCTCCTTGGAAACAGAACCCTCCCACAGCGCATCCTACCCGGGAGACCAGCCTCAGGGGATCCTTCTGGAACCAGCTGTCTGTGCAGAGAACAGGGTGCTTTCGTCAGGGACTGCTGGCGGCCAGTCCTGAGGAAGGACCGACTGCCCTGACTTGAGCCCAATTAAATTTTATTTTTGCTGGTTTTGAATGAACTTTCTGACCACTCCAGTGGCCACGTTTCTCCCTGGGATTGAACTGCTCCAGACTCAGCATGGGCCACGGGTCAGACAGGTCGGTGACAGCTTCAGGCTCCCCCTTAGGCAGCTGTGAGGGAGCTGTGTTTCTGGGATTTCCCATGGGCCTGAGAGAATCCTTGGTTCCTGCATAACATGTGGGATGGACGGGAACAGAGGGAGCTGGGGACAGGACGCAAGGAATACTGTCATCACCCGCTGTCTGAAGGAGAGCTGGAGCAAGTCCAGAGCAGGAGAGGGTGAGGAGGGGTAGATCTGAACCCGGCTAGAAGGAGCAGCCAGGCTGTGCTGCTGGCTTCAGGGAAGGCAGCCGGGCTGTCTCTGCCACAGGAGCAGACCCTGCAACAAGGATGCAAGGGCAGGCAGTATATTTGGGAGGTGATTGTGGGAAACACCAGTAGAGAAGTAGGGAAGTGAGATGGCGAGGGGAAGGAGGGGAAGGCAGCCAGTAAAGGGTGTGGTTTCAACCCATCTACCCCTGTGGGGACTGGAGCTAACTCCCACCCAAAGCTCTAGGAATCAGGGTAAAACACGCACCTTGGAGATACTCCACCGGGGAGTGAGGGAGCTGGGGTATTTACACACCAACTCCCATCAGTGGTTTGTTGAGGGCTTCTGGTGTTGGGGATGATATGAATTCCTAGGTGCTTCTTGCCTGCCCTGCCTAGGGAAGAGTGGCCTTCTGTGGCTTCACAGCAAGCCCCCAGCCAAGAGAAGGCAATGCCAGCTGCTGGCAGGCCACAGGAGAACATTGAAATGGGAAGGCCCAAGGGATACGGTGCCAAGACCTGCCTGAGGTTTCTGAGAAGGGCCCAGTTCCCAGGCTCTAGACTAAGTCTTGAAAGGGGATTGTGGGAGCAGAAAGCATTGCTACTCAGCCTCCCGGAGTATGTGCTGGGGACACCACCCTTCAGTGAAGAAGAAGCCCTCTGCCCAAGCACAGATGCCCACCAGTGGCCTGGGACTCACAGCTCCCAAGACCTGGGGCCTGGGAGCACATCAGATGTGCCAAGATAGCCTGGGGTAGAGACAACAGTGTGTGTGAACCTTCCACCAGGGGCCACAGCAGGTGGGACATGGGCTACAGTTGCAGTGATATCAAAATCAAGGTCCAGGCCAGGTGCAGTGGCTCATGCCTATAATCCCAGCACTTTGGGAGGCCAAGATGGGCAGATCACCTGAGGCCAGGAGTTTAAGATCAGCCTGGCCAACATATAAAAACGTTAGCCAGGCATGGTGGCACTCACCTGTAATCCCAGCTACTTGCGAGGCTGAGGCAGGAGAATCATTTGAACCTGGGAGGCGGGGTTCAGTGAGCTGAGATTGCACCACTGCACTCCAGCCTGGGTGACAGAGTGAGACTCCATCTCAAAAAAAAAAAAAAAAAAAAAAAAATTCAAAGAGCCCTGGGGAGAGCCATGCTCAGGGTTGGCTGAGGAAGCCAGAAGGTGCCCATCCAGACATCCTGTTAATTCCATCACTCCCTGCCCAACCCACCTCAGCTCACCCTCAGGGATGAAAGGGGGAGCATGCTGGCAGACCTGAATAACCACTTCCAACCACACCAGTAGACTACCTGGAAAACATCTTCCCAGAAACCTGCTCTGGGAATGAAGCTGGCAGGAAATTTTCATCATGACCATAAACACCTTTGAGAGCTTAGAAATTTCACTTTACAACAAGCTAGAGTACCTTATAAAATTTTTAAAGAACGTATAAAGACCTCTAAAGTGAGCTTATGAGCAGGGACAGGGCTAGGCAGAGGGCTCTTGGCAGTGGCCACCATTTTAAGACATGGGGTAGCTGCGTGGTTGAAGAGAAGACGCATGGACTTTTCCAGAAAGTGCACCGCGCAACACTTCAAAGAAGACAGAGACTATGTCCACTGGCTCAATCAGAGAATGCAGGGAAGAGTCCCGGTTCCCCTTTCCCAGATTTTATTGCTAATGGTCAGTCTGAACTCTTCTTTGAAGAACTGCCTTTGGCTACTCATACCTTCTTTGAGCACAAGTGCAAAGAAGACAGACCAGGAAGTTCCTTAGCTAATGACAGGCAGGTGTGGGAATGTGAAAGGCCAGCTCCTAATCCTGGGGCATGATGACCACGAGGTGCGATTTACACTCCAGGATTCCCAGAGGGATCAGGCGGGAACTGGGACTTTGCCTGCAAGTGTCCCTTTGCTTACCTCCTTCCCCTTTCCCATCCTGCTCCTCCACTCCCTTACCAGTGTCCCCAGGGGCCAGTCCTTAACAAATCAATCACCTACATGATGATCCCTATCCCAAGTGGGATCCTGGGGGACCCATCCTAAGAGAGGCGGTGGGCATGGCCAGCTGGATGGGACTGAGCCCCAGCCTGGCCTGGGAGATAAGACCTCCAGGTCTGCAGGAATTGTTGTCATAAAAGGGGTCAGTTCTCAAGGAGAAAGAGCTCAGAGTGGGGGAACTGCACTTGCCACTGCCATGTGGAGCTCATGGAAGAGGCAACGTGCTGTTCCACACCAGGAAACACAAGGGAGAGATTAGGGATCATGCCCTCCTCCAGCCTCCCACTCCTTGACAAGGTGTAGGCCTCAGGGGACACATCCTCAGATGCCCAGAATAAGCCAGAAGATAAGCCCAAGTGGCCATCGTTGTACCCCCATAACCCACCAAGGAGACTGCATTCTCGAGCCAGTCACACTAGGCCCCCCTGGGCTGGGTGTCACAAAAGTGGCAAACACCCGTCAGACTCTCAACGTCATTTTCAGGACATTGTGGCCACTACAGGGACCCCCAGGTCAGCTCGAGCTGTAGAGAGTTGGATCTTTATCGCCATAAAGAGTCACTCTCATCACTCAGCAAGCAGTTAAGACACCTGCTATGCATCAAGAGTCTGGTAGGCTTGCGGCTGCTGCAGTGAAGAAAACCCAGCAGTCGGTGAAGAAAATCCCACTCAGTCTAGCGCGTGATACAAATCCAGAGACGACATGGCTTGGTAAGGGGGAAGACTACAGGACCCCTGCCCCAGCCTTGGGGGATCCAGGAAGGCATCCTGGAGGAAGCAGCACCCACGCTGAGCCCTCAGGAGTGTGTAGGAGCTCGCCAGGCAAAGAAGGGAGGGAAGAGCATATCAGGCCAGGGAACAGCACAAACAAGGCCTGGAAGGGGCAGAGGGTGGGTGACAGGGCTGAGTGGGAGGTAGGAGCCCAAGGGGACTTGTGAGCTGGGCAGAGGGCTTGGACTTTGTCCCAGGGCAGGGACACACTGGGAGATTTAAGCTGGGGGCAAGGTGACCGGATCTGCATATTTTGAAAATTCCTTGCTGCTGTGAGAAGGGTAGAGGAAGGGAGGCCAGTGAGGATGTCGTGTCATCCGGGAAGAGAGGGTGGTGGCCTGGACCAGGGGCCTGTCCCGGGGATCATCAGAAAGTGAAATGGATAAGACTTGGGACACATTTTCTCACTGGGGTCGGCAAGCCTTAAGGAATCTCCGCAAGCTAATCGTGACCTCAGAACTGGGGGCTTGGATTTGCCTCCCCGCTCCCTGCCAATGTGCCTCCCACCCACCCCAGGAGTGAGGATGGAGCTGTGAGGGGTGGGGTCATGGGGAGAGCTTTCCAGAAGCTGTAATTCTGGTCCTCACCAGTAGGTGGCAGCACAAGCTAGAAAGGGAAGGTTGGCAAGGTCTCCCCACACACCCAACCCTTGGGAAAGGCTGTTGTGCCTAATGAACTCGTTATCTGGGACTTCCCAAGGGGCAGTGAACTTATCTTCAGCCTTGCTGATAGTGTAACAACTGCAGCTCCTCACTTCTACAGAGAATTGCAGTTTTCCAGATGTTCTGCTCAGAGCTTTGCATGAATTACCTCATTTCATCCTCATAGCCCCCTCGTCCACAGGGTGGGATCCATTGTTATCCTGTTTTACACAGGAGGAAGATGAGGCTCAGAGAGGTCAAGTGACTTGTCCAAAGTCACATAGATAAGGAGTCTCAGAATAAGGGCTGGAATTCCAATCTGTCTCCAACATTACATGAAACAGATATGTTTGCCCTAAACATACTGTTTACTCTCAGGTAAACAGTGTTTCTCCCATCCTCGTTCTCCTCCTCTCTTCCTCCCTTCCCCTTTTTCTCCTCCCCCTCTTCCCCTGCTCCTGAATGCCTCTGAAGACTTTTGAAGATTGCACAGAACCTCGGAGTTAGAATTCTCGACCTCTACCTTCACTGTTTTGGAAGAGATGGAGAGGAAGTGGGTTCAAGGGATTTAGAGCTCCTCTTTTTAAAGCCCAAAGCCCCCCTCACACTTTGTAAGCCTTACTTC